ATTCACATAAAACACCCCCAGAAAACAAATTAATATTTTCATTCACCTCTTTCATTGCCATATATTTATACAGTATGTGTGTATGTAGAAGCATACCATGAGACAGTGGTGCAAAGTAAATAACTACAAGTACTTGAGTATTGTACATAAGTGCACTTTTGAGGTATCTGTACATTGCTTCAGTATTTTCACTTTCTGCTACTCTTTTTTTTCTGCATTTCTGCATGTTCATGTCAATAAAATGCTATTTAAACAGTATTAAAGATGAAAACAGGTCAAATGTCACTTCCACCATCATAAATCCTGAATGCACCATGCAGTTGCACTGAGATTTGAGGATGTGCAGATATTGACTGTATGTCTGCCATATTTGTTGATGGTGCTACAGCGTCATCGTTCGTTTGAAAGGTGATACCCAACCAGCTTCAAATCCGATGCTGCCGGCCGCCATTTGCTAATCATTAATGGCTTTGGTAACGGTAATCTTTTATGGCATCGGCAGTGTCAAACTTGTTAGACGTGTTTGTAAAGATCATGGTCCACTTGATCAAAAGTGCATGTTTATCATTGATTAGTTCAGCTCAGCAGTTGCTGATTTTCACTTGAGACCTGACCAGAGCACTTTCCGTACAGATAATCACAGGCATGGTGTGTAGCAAGGCTTCTAAGCAGAGTATATACAGATTATATACAGTGCCTTGCAAAAGTATTCGGCCCCCTTGAACTTTGCAACCTTTTGCCACATTTCAGGCTTCAAACATAAAGATATAAAACTGTAATTTTTTGTGAAGAATCAACAACAAGTGGGACACAATCATGAAGTGGAACGAAATTTATTGGATATTTCAAACTTTTTTAACAAATAAAAAACTGAAAAATTGGGCGTGCAAAATTATTCAACCCCCTTAAGTTAATACGTTGTAGCGCCACCTTTTGCTGCGATTACAGCTGTAAGTCACTTGGGGTATGTCTCTATCAGTTTTGCACATCGAGAGACTGAAATTTTTGCCCATGCCTCCTTGCAAAACAGCTCGAGCTCAGTGAGGTTGGATGGAGAGCGTTTGTGAACAGCAGTTTTCAGTTCTTTCCACAGATTCTCGATTGGATTCAGGTCTGGACTTTGACTTGGCCATTCTAACACCTGGATATGTTTATTTGTGAACCATTCCATTGTAGATTTGGCTTTATGTTTTGGATCATTGTCTTGTTGGAAGACAAAGCTCCGTCCCAGTCTCAGGTCTTTTGCAGACTCCATCAAGTTTCCTTCCAGAATGGTCCTGTATTTGGCTCCATCCATCTTCCCATCAATTTTAACCATCTTCCCTGTCCCTGCTGAAGAAAAGCAGGCCCAAACCATGATGCTGCCACCACCATGTTTGACAGTGGGGATGGTGTGTTCAGGGTGATGAGCTGTGTTGCTTTTACGCCAAACATAACGTTTTGCATTGTTGCCAAAAAGTTCAATTTTGGTTTCATCTGACCAGAGCACCTTCTTCCACATGTTTGGTGTGTCTCCCAGGTGGCTTGTGGCAAACTTTAAACGACACTTTTTATGGATATCTTTAAGAAATGGCTTTCTTCTTGCCACTCTTCCATAAAGGCCAGATTTGTGCAGTATACGACTGATTGTTGTCCTATGGACAGAGTCTCCCACCTCAGCTGTAGATCTCTGCAGTTCATCCAGAGTGATCATGGGCCTCTTGGCTGCATCTCTGATCAGTCTTCTCCTTGTATGAGCTGAAAGTTTAGAGGGACGGCCAGGTCTTGGTAGATTTGCAGTGGTCTGATACTCCTTCCATTTCAATATTATCACTTGCACAGTGCTCCTTGGGATGTTTAAAGCTTGGGAAATCTTTTTGTATCCAAATCCGGCTTTAAACTTCTCCACAACAGTATCTCGGACCGGGGCTGAATAATTTTGCATGCCCAATTTTTCAGTTTTTTATTTGTTAAAAAAGTTTGAAATATCCAATAAATTTTGTTCCACTTCATGATTGTGTCCCACTTGTTGTTGATTCTTCACAAAAAATTACAGTTTTATATCTTTATGTTTGAAGCCTGAAATGTGGCAAAAGGTCGCAAAGTTCAAGGGGGCCGAATACTTTCGCAAGGCACTGTACATGGTCACACTCATATCACCAACTAGCAGCACCTGGTGCTAATGACAAATACTCTGCCAGGGTTTCAGTAAGACCACCCCCCTGGTGGGTAGGGGTTTACAACATAAAGTACAAACACTCCCAACTGTTTTTCTGTCATTTTTGACAAGGAAATTTAATTTCACAGTACCCGACTGGGAAAAGGGCATTCAACTGCATACTCTATGGTAGTGTGTCCACCTAAACTGAGACCAAGTCATAACCAAGACCAGACCAGTGCAGCACCTGCATTGCATGACACATTTATGATAAAATGTGGAACATGCAAGCGG